TGATGGTCTTTTCTTATATAAATTTTTGATTAGCTTTTTTAAACATTCATCACGATAATAAATAGCATTAATTGATGTTCCAGAAGGTAATTCATGAATAAGTAATGGTCCAGATCTTTAACTGCATCAATATTTTGTTGAGTGATGGCGGATAATGGACGACCACTTCGAGGATTATCTTCCAAAGATTCTCGTTCATTTGAAAATCGTTGAATCCATCGAGTAACTGTACAATATGAAACTACATCCTGTCCATAAGCAGTAGTTGATTCATCATGAATTTGTGTAGCTGTTAAACCTAATAACCAACGAGTTTCTATATATGAGCGTATGTACTGTTTTTCCATCTGAAAACAGGGGTGTTTAAAAAATTCGTTGAAAATTTGCCATAATAGACAGTTGTGAAGCTTCGTATTGGTATTTTAATACATAAGAGATGTCACTATTAGAATAGGCCAACATGAGGAATAAAACCAATTCGGATGAAATTTTAGACAGCTGTTTGCAGAACTTTTTGACTACCCCATGTAATTAACACTAGAATAATTTTTTTTTACTTTTGTTTAAATATATAAAATATTTGGTAAAAATAAAATTTTCTAGCGAGGCCTGAATAATATGAAATTAAAGCAAATTTTTTTCCTTGTGTTTTTGTTAATAAATGAGTAGATAGTCTTTGACAAGTTGAGGGTATGGGTGTCAGTTTTGGTAGTCTGTTTAATTATACCCACACCCACCCTTTTAATTCTAACTATTGGATAATACAATTCACCAAATTGATGTGAAAAGAAATACATCAACTTTATCAGTTCAAAAAAATTGATTTTTGTTGTTTCATTTTGTTTAATATCTGTAGGAGATAGTTTTTTCTCTTGATAGAATGTCTGAAAATATATATACTGTTATTTGATAACCAATTAAACTAAAAAATCGTCCTAAGAGAGCTCAGGCTCAAGATTTTTCTTGTCCAGTTAAAATCTCAGCAGATTGATTAGAAGGAAGTGAACTCGTCTCTCCATCAATATCTGTTAGTATGAATACTCCCAGGATTTGAATACAATGAGGTTGTCATAAAATACATTGATAGTTTAGTAATGATAACTGGAATAGCTTCTTTTATAAAATTCGGTTTATTAACAAATTTTTTTCGTTTCTTTAATTATGTGTTTAATTCGAGTCTTTTTTGTTGATAATCTCATCAAAATACTTTCAAGATAACTTTTCATAGTGTCAAAAAAGCATCTTTAATCTTTTGAATTTCTAATAAAATTTGGTTTTTTTTTCTTGAAATAATTTTAAAGCATGATCAAGAGTTATTTCTCTTTAATATTTTCCAATTTATCACAAAATGTTTCATAAGGTTTATTATTGACTGTTACATCTTGAAATGGAATGACACAATCTTCTTTTAATTTTGCTAAACTATTATAATTTCTTTGATTATTAAAACACTTGAATGATTTTCCTATTGCCATTATTTATTTTGCTTTCAATTGAATAATTTCTATGCGACTTGCTTGATTAAATATCTTTACACTTTTAATAATTCTCTATAATTGCATTTAATACATAATAAATACATGAATGATTTTATTTTCTTTTTGCTTCATTAATTTTTAGAATTTAATAAATATCATTTTCTTTGGCTTTCTCAAAAAAAAAAATCACTATCAAAATTATTAATCTTTAATTCATTTTTAAATTTATTTGGATTTTCTTTTCTTCTATGTTTATCAATATGATCTAAGAGAGAAATGAAATAACATATTTGTTCTGCTCTATGAAAAGAGATTTTTGTTTTAAGGTCATCACCTTATTGATTAATATGTACTATGCAATTGTAATAAAACTTTTTCATCAACAATGTTTTCTTCAAAAAACCTTCTTTGCAAAGCAACTTCTAAATTAAACGTTTTATGTTTTTTTAAGTATATCAGACTGACTAGGCATAACTTCTTTCTCTTTGATCTTGTTTAAGAATATCTGTTATTAAAGACATGATTTTTGAAGCATTTTCATGAAATTTCGAATGCATACTAAACGAAAAATGTTTTTGAAAATTTTTTAATAATTTTAAAAATTCTATATTAAAATTAAGAAAACAATCAATAACTTTTGTAATACTTTGTTTTCCTTCAATTAATTCTAACTCGAATTTGAATTTTCTTTATCTCTTCCATTTTATTTTGATAAATTGAATTTTTTATTTTTCAATAAGCTATCATTGATTTTAAATAAGTAGAAAATCGATTTAAATATTCACCATCGATATTTATATTCACAATGTAATGAGATAGATTTTTCATTTGTAATAAGTTAAGAATTTAGTTTTTAGAATCTTACAAAATTTTGACTAAAAAATCCATTTCACATATCTTTAGTCAAAATATCTTGACGAATAGATTATATTCAAATAGTTGAACTATTTCTTAACTTCGATATCATTTTTAATAATTTTCTCATCTACTAAAATATCTTCATTTAATTTAAATTGAAACTTTTCTTTTATTAATATGTGTTGCTCATAATCGAAATTGGTGTCTTCATATATTTTCATCTTATTTTTTCTTATCCTAAAAACCCAAGTCATATCTTCTTTTAATTTATCGATTTTAATGCTATATTAAGTCTTTAATATCGCTGTTTGAATTCTTTTTTTGCATGAAATGATACAATAATATCATTACGATGAATTTTTTCTAGAACCCTATTTGATTATCATTTAATGTTTTATGAAAAACATGTTCTCCATTAAGTTTTACTAGAATAGAACTATTTTAATTTTCTTCTAATTTTTTAAACGTATTAACTTTTTAATTAAATCAATTACAAATGGATTAAAATGAAGTATTGTTTTTAAATTAGATAATTGAGATGTTGTTTAAAAAAAATTATTTGAACTATTATCAAAGATAATTTTCGATCAAATACAATTAATATTATTTTCATGTTTAGATCATGCTAATCTTCGATCATAGTTTTTAAAACCTCTTTGATGAATACTATTAATAAAATCATTAGAAGTTTTGTTTTTTGTATCTGTTTTAGTATATTTATTGGAATTTGTATAACTATGATGTAATTTAAATAAAAGATCAGCTGATGATTTTAATTCTCGATGTAGAATAGGTTTAGTAACTATTTCTTTTAGTAACCTAAGGTTTGAAAGACGTTTTTTAAATAAATCAATGAAATTTTGAAGATATTATCTTTATTTTTGTTGATTTTCATTATTTAATAAAATTGTAGATTGTAAACTATTATAAAAACAAACTTCATATTGATTTTTATAATATTATTCAATATCATTTATATAAACAAATTCTGTTTTTCCTTCTTTCCATTCAGCTATAAGTTTAAGAACACTTTCAAGATCATGGAATTTTCCATTTTTAATCTTACCTTCATATTCACCGTGATTTTTAAAATTATAATCATATCCATCAGGTTTATCATCTTTCCATGAACTAGAATAATACTCTTCTTCATCATTAATACTAGATGTACTTTATCCTTCACGTAATTTTTTGTTAATTGTACTATAATAAATTTTGTTATCGATCGATAAAAAGACGTTAATAAAATTGATCTTCTTTTCTTTTAATCATTGAAATTTCTGGCAAATATACTATATCAACAATATCAGTTTCATCACCACTACTATATTTATCATCATTTTAATGATATACTTTAATAGATCTTATATCTTGAACAGAAGATTTCTTTTCTACTTCTTTACTTTCAATAGTAACAAGATTTAAGTTGGGACCTAATGATGAATTTTTATAAATTAAAGTCTCTTTCTTTTTCACAATTCGTCATCGTTCTCTATTATTATCGCTTAATTTAATCTTTATCCCTTAATATGTACAATAATACGTGTTGCTAATAAAAGAATCATATAAATAACGAAAGCACAAACAGAAGCGATGTTTTCCACAGATGAAGGAAAGAAAATACCGTTTCTTTTTATAAACAGTGACAACGATTTGGGATACATTCGATTGATCTGAATCTTGGGTGTGGATGTTAATGGACCATAGACAACAACACCCACATCTACATTCACATCCATACCCACACTCAATCGATGCAGAATTGGCGCTGCTGACTCTTTTTTTTTACATGTATGAAATTGATTCTTTGAAAACAGTAACTTTTGATGAGTACTTTGCAACTTCGAAGTGACACACAGATCATTTTCAGTTCAAGTGCGGTCGCTGTACTTCTTAACTAATACAGAAGTGTAGCATGTGAATAGTAATCAATAAAATAAAACATTTAAAAACGACTTGTCGCATAATATCTTTATACGTATACAAAAAGCACTTAATTCTTGAAATCTCTGCTAGAGATGATAGCTCTGAATGGTTCTTCTGAAGTTTAATATTATAGATAAATACTTGGTGTGTCTACTAATCATTTAAAAGGAAAAGTAGCTGACAATGTTGAATCCAATAGTAAAGATATACGACAAAATTTTTGGGCAGAATATACATACTGATAGAAAATGAAATAATTCAGCTTACATATGTTTGATTTTATATTGCATAGGACACAAAACTGTTCGTTTTGCTTTTAGGATAAAACTAAAAGACCTAGATTTATACGACAATTATCAATTACTGTTTTTTTTACTAGAAAGAGAAATTATATTAAATCGTAAATATAGTGGAATTTAAAAAAGTAGAAATGTAAACAAATTTAAACTATGTACTAAAATACAATTTGATAGCAAAATCAACTGCTAAAAAAAAAGTTCGCCATTAGTAGATTATAATCGATAAGTTTTAATCGCATTGTATTTAAATATTAATTCAAGTTCATCTTTTGATAATCCAGCATCATTTTCTGCAATATCTCGATAAACATTAACAAGTTCTTCATATGTTATATTTAATTTATCTACTGGAAAATTTGATCCAAACATACAACGTTTTGGTGTAAATAAACGTAGACATTCAAGAATATATGGTGCAAAAATTTCTTTTGACCATGCATGATTAAACATAACCAATCCACTTAATTTACAAACAACATTTGTTTGTTCAGCCATATGTCTCATACCTTCTTTCCAAATATTAAAATCACTTTGACCATCAACAGGTAAACCACAATGATCAAGAATAAGTATTGCATTAGGATATTGTCGAGCGATTTTTGATGCGTCAATCATTTGTGATGGATATATATGAAAATCAAATGATAATGAATATGATGTAAGTAATTGAAAACCTTCAAGCCATGTTTTATCAGTTAAATAATCACCTCGATCAGTCATTGATAAACGAGAATCTTTTGTTGACCAATTAAGTAATTGACGAATACCTTTAACACGTGGATAATCATGTGTATAGGTTTCAAGTAATTTTGGTAATTCTGATGATGTTAAATTAGCATGTGCAACAATACCATGTGGAAATCCATTTGAATTTTCATTAGAAATTTTTTCAAGAAATTTAACTTCTTCTATTGAATCATCAGCTTCAGCTTGAACATGAACAGATTTAATTAAGTGACATGAAGCATTTGTTGCATCACGAAGATAATCATCGAGTAGGTAATTATGTTTTAAACGTTCAATATCACCAGCAACATGCCATGATGCACCACCTTCTGAAACAGGTCTAAGCCATTGATATTTCGTAGAATTTGTTGGTGATAATGACCAAAGATGATGATGACTATCAACTATTTCAATAGCCATCTGTTTTCTATTGATGAAAAAAAATGTTATCTATACTTTACTTTTTCATATAAAGGTACCACTTGAAATCTTTATAACATAATAAATTATTCAAATATTGCATCTTTAGCTTTGTCAAACAATTCTTTTTCTATATTTATTATTATTATTATTAAAAATAATACATTCTGATCATTCTTCAAAGATAATAAAAATTTACTAAGGAAACGTTAGAGATTGAAGTCTTTAAGTTTTATGAAATAGTGATCATCTTTGAAGATATTAGTTTTATCAAATATGTGATTACATAGAGAAATTAACTTTTTTTCTCATTCTAAATGTAATATTGAAGATTTCAATTTGTACCAATTCTTTTGATAGACATTTATTTTGTAATAGTATCTCTTTGTTATCTAATACATACGAAAATTTTTTATCATATGCAAATTTCAACTAGTGATAGATTGATTTTAAAATGTTTAATATTTCATACTGATAAAACTATATACATTTTTTGATTTATCATCGCGTTAAGTGCTCGATGATTACATTATTCCTTCTCGCAACATAAACATTATCAATAAATACTGTATAGTGTAAATAAAGATTTTTAACAGTGTTCATGATGTATTGACAGAAAAAATAAAGTACAATGAATTCAGTCACCGACGAATATTCATGTATTAACTTACACTTCTAGTTACTTTCTGAGTAAAACTGAATGTACGAAGGAGTGCATCACATGAGAATAGAATTCTTCTTTAGTCATTCAAACGCCTTTCTTTCAAGGACATTATAAAATGTTTTCATCACATATTTTGATATATCAATGTAGTAATGTGTTAGTGACTGATCTTTGTTTACGATTGTAATTAACAATAACGTACAAAATATAATGGATTGGAACCATCAGAAATTTGCATTTATTTAGAAACAAGAGTTAAAATTTCGACTATCAGCATCCTTACAAGGATGTATTAATGAGACTTACAAAAGCCTCAAAGTGTTTCATCATACTGAGCCTTGAGATACGACCTATGACTGTTTTACGGAATTTTCAACACATCTTTAGGTATATACGGAAAAATCAAAAAGTCGAATCTTGATGTAAAATTTTATCCATACATTGATCTGATGATCGATAGAATATTTTTTAAGTAAACTCGATTTTTATATCATGTCTGCCTCAATTGATTAATTTTTTTTTATTGAAAACTCGATATCTTGACACGAGAATGTTATTTTTCCCTGAAAGTGTGAGAGTATTATACAAGTCATTTGATTTATTTATAGACAAAGCTTCTTATCAACTCCAAAGACCAATGGAAACAAATCCTTTTAGGTTTCACTTTTGGATCATGATCTTTTTAGTTTAATAAAAAATTCTAGTGGTTATTTCAATTTTCAAAACAAATCTCAAAGAAAAAAGACCATTTTTGTCTATTGTCAATATCATATTTGAAAATTGCTTAAAAAAAAAGATAAGAAAAGCAAAAGAAAAAGTTGCACACAAAACATTCTTTTTTTTATTACACTGAATGTTGAAAATTCTTTGTTTTTTCTATTATTATTTATCATACAAAATCAACACATCCAAATAAGTTTAATACTGAGTTCTACTTTAAGCAAAACTCTTGCTTTTCAATCTGACATTACAATTCATATAAACGAGAATTGATACAAAGAACAAAAGAAAAAAACATAATTATTTTAAACAGATACATTTGCATTAGTTGTATTGCTTCGTAATCGTTTTATTTGTTGTACATCATTTTCTAAATTCACTGTTGATGTTGTCAACGAACGTTTTCCAATTCGTACTGCTAAATCGACATCATCATCATCATCATCATTTTGTTGATTAATTTGAACAACAATTTTATCAATAAGTGTATTTAAAACAGATGAAACTGTATCTATATCTTGTTCATCATCACTCATATCTTCTAATGCTTTCATATAAGGTTTTTTAAGTAGACATACATCAAGAAATTGTGCAGCACCACGACGACCAAAAGCTGTTTTCCATAAACAACGAGTTGTTGATGAAGATAAAATTTCATCATCTTCATCTGAGTCTTAAAAAAACAAATTGATGATCAAAGAATTTAATTAATCATTTGAATATTCAAACGAACTTGTTCAAAAAATTTATTCTATGCTGAATTATGATTCCTCTTTTTTTAAGAATATTTTTCGATTTTTCTCAGCAGAACATTCCTGAAAATGACCTGATAAAACCTTTAATGAACTTCAAAACATGTTTTGTAGCTCTAATCGTCTTCCTTTCTCAAAATCTTATATCTATCATTGATCAATCATTCCTAACATTTATTTAAAACGAACGTGATACACTTTAAGTTATATACTATTCGATAGGTATTTTAGAGCTAAAGCACTTCACTTAAACGCACAATGTTGGAGAATATCTAAAAGTTGTGCTTTTTTGACTAATATTTCATTACAACAGTTAGACTTTTTATCATAAGAAATTATACATTTGAAATCAGCATAAAAATACTGAATTGATATATGAATGTCACAAAATGATCCATCAACTTTCATTTTGATCCAAAACTTTACCATTGGTCCCCTTCTGAGATGCATCAAAAAAATAATTTGAGTCAAAACATAAGTCTAACTATTAAACGAAGGTTTTGATTGAATTTATATTGTGATGTATTCCTGAGAGAGACTACAGATGAAGAATGGTCTTTTTTCTATTTACATACCTTCATCATCATCAATAATTGTCATTGGTGTACTTAAAAAAAGTTTTGCATCAAATTGTGGTAATTGATCTTTATGTTCTAATAATTCACATAAATATTCTTGTCTTTGTGATAATTCTTTAACTTGTATTAATAATTGTCTAACATAATGTTGTTCAAATAATTCTGGACGTTCATCACAACGAAATTTAAATTTTAAATCATCTTGATATATTTCAATAGATAATAATCTTGATGATAAAAGTTTAGCATGTAATTCATTATTATCTTGTTTAATTCCATCAGTTGATAATATTGTTTTTAAACGTATTAATATAGATTCTAAATCATCATAATTAAATGATGTTTTACGTATATTATTTAATAATTGTAAACGTTGTCGAATTTTATCTTCAGTTAAATATTCAAAATAAGCTGTACCATTTAAATAAAATGCAATTGATATAGATTTAGATGTAAAATGTGGTTGACATAAAAGTACAAGATGACGATATGGTTGATCAATTGAACCAACATATGCTGTTAATGGTGATGACATACGTATAAGACGTATTGGTGTTTGACCAAATGTACGTGTATATGTTGAAGCAAAATCTTCAAATGACATATCTAAAAAAAAATAAATTATTTCATAAGAAAATATTCTTATTCCAAAAAAACAAAAAAGCAATAGATTATTATTATTATTAAAAATAAAATTAATAAATATGATTTTATCATTCATGTAAAGATTTTCTTTCGATTTATTAATTTCTATATGAAGAATAATTTCATTAATCGAAATGTTAAAAGATTTCTCAATCAAGAACGAGAAGAAAAAAATCTTTACATGAATGATATCTACAATATTAATTAATTGTAAAGAAGATAAGTTATATTTCATTGATATTGAGTTGTAAATTGTTCAATAGAAAAATTATAAATACAACAATGGTTAGAAAAATGAAGATTAAAAGAGCAAAAAAAGTAAAACATTTTCAAAAACTTAACATACCTTCTTGTTGAATTATAAATTCAAATACATCCTAAAATTAACAAAAATCTAGTAATTAACACTGACACCAAGATAAGTTATTTTAATATTACGTAGAGTTTATATCACAAAAATCTTCATGCTGTTGGCATAGACAGTATAGAGGAATCTTATTTTAGTACAAAGATTGAAATTGTTTTTATATGGATATGTATATATTGTGATAAAGAAAACTGAAAACTCGACAAGGCAGTAAAGTCGTCATGATTTTTATTGGTATCTTCTATTCTATTCACACAGAAAGGTATGTAATACAGATCAATTGTAGAATTATGTACTTAGAAAAATAGTTCGTATTTTATGAATGATTCATTCGACTAAGATTATGATAACATTCTTGATATTAATTTTCTTTCGATCTAACAATAATTATATTGAAACGATTCACTAGATCAATATTCGAATATTTTACAAAAAAGAAAACCAAAAAAGCTAAGCAATCTCATTTAAAGAAAATTCCGTTATTGCTAGCTGTTGACTATATAATTAAAGTATATATAGAAGAATTCGGATTTTTTTTTTATATAATCTAATATGATGAAATATATTGATATGAATAAAATTCCAGGTTAAAATTTAAAAAAAATACAATTTCACTGAAAGCATTCGAGTTTAGTCTATATTCTAGCTGAATTGTAACAGATACTCATATCTTCTTGGTCTACAGAATCCCTACTTGTAAACCAAATATGAGATCTTTATACAACAGAAATCCACAATTATGCATACACTCCCACCCTTGTAGCAAAACATTCCTGAGATATGAATGTTAAAATCTATCTATAACAAGTACTTACTTTTTCATTTCATATATATCTTTGTCTATATTTCCCTAATAGCACGTACCTTTTATTCAATCACTTTATATGACGAATATATATTTCAGCTCAACTGACTATTCGTCTGGTTATTTTCTTTGTGGAACAGGAATGTCAGCTTCGAAATATCTTTTTAATATGAAAAGAGATTATTTCAACACATAATAAAGCTTGAATAACTCTTTCCTCGATTGATTACATGTGTCATTGCATGAAATACAAGATTTAACGACTATAGAAGAAAGTCTATCATCACAATGATTTACTCAAAAATGCTTTTCTTGAAGAAAAAAAAAAGAATACAATGACCGATAGTGAACTATATGTGTCTGTCCACTAGCGAAGAAAAGAAAAAAAAAACTAGGCAACATATTACTACATTAGAAAAAGAAAAAAAAGAGAACTGAATAAGAAATAGAAGTTCACCGAAACATGTCTGTCCTTTCTGTTATCGATATCTTCTACTTCTGTTCTCTTTCTATTATCTCTACCTTCTGGTTCCGTATATAAGCGTGTACTTTCTATGTAAATTATGTGATTCTTGATAAGAAGAAACACAATAAAGCATAGTTCTATCAGTGCTAATACTTCTTCTATATAAAAATCGTCACAATGTCGTTCTTTTTTTTTAATCAAATAAAAACTAGAGAGCGGTAACACCTGTTACAGAAAAAAGATTGTACGATTGCATAAACTATGTGAACTGTACCATTCATAAGAACAGAAGTGTTCATACAGTATATAAAACGGTCTTTTACAAATTTAACATCTTATCATATGAAGGACTTATACATTTATTTAGTATGAATGCAATGTTAAGCATGTAAGTAGTCAATTGTTCTTACATCTATCTTTAAGATAGCAAGTTGCTCATCTGGATATATTAAATATATATACATATGATAGAATACAAGAGAAAAACAAATGATTGAAAAAAGAATTAATTATTCTTATGTATCAGTTTTTTGGGAACACTTTTGAAAAGTTCGAAAAGTGTCCTACTCTAAAAAGGTTATAATGTATATCTAATCACTTTATTGTCTATAGAATACATCGAGTTTTGTTTTACATAAATATTAGTAATTGAACATTCCTATCACTAACATGTTACTTGTTTGACACGAAGAATATCTGCGACGGAAATTGTTATATACATATATATGAATGATCCCATGGCTGATCGATAAATCAACATATTTAAAGGATATACGTTCAAGTACATGAAATTTACATCTCTTTACTTTCGATGGGAAGTGAATAGTCTTTTGAATGTAATATTAAAAACTGATTCAATCGATAAAGACAAATCATTGTTCAAATGCATCTGTACAAATTCTTCATTTGATTTCAGTTGATACACCAATAAATGACTCAAAATCAATGCTAACAACATTCAAACATAATGGACAACCATCACATTAATAGAAATCTTACAATCATGTTTAATATATTCATAAATGACCAAGAATAAAAATTACTTGACCAAATAGACGAACTGAAAAATTAAACATATTTAGACTTTGACAATTGATATATTTACTTGATATATAATTCATAAATAGTAACCATTCATATATTTGAAAATTTACTATACTATATTCTACATAATTCATTTGTACTTGATTTTGAATTAAATCATATTGATGCTGGTAGTAATTTTCGTATCATCAGTTAACAAATGAATCAATCGTTCATATACACATGACAAGAAGAATGTATCAATGAAGAACTAATTGAAATTCGTATATGATCTCGATGCAGAAAAAAAAACAGATGTCACTGCTATATGATCGTTAGGATTGATGAACAATGAACATGGTACAAAAAAAAAACATGAAAATGTCGAGTGTGAATGAATGTTCCGGTTTTTGTAATTATTTATAAATGAATATTTGTCTCCAAAATATGTAGCTTGAAATTCTCTACACTATCATAGGAAAATAAAGGTAGAAAAGATAGAAGTAAAAAATTCCTTTTTTTCGATTTCAGAAGAAAAACTCATTTTTGTGTTCTTAAAAAACTGGTTTATTCAAGAAAAAAGTTACTCTTCAAGCCACAAGAGAAAACTTGATTAACATAAGCCTTGTGTCCAGAGAAATAGGCCTCATTTTAATAACAAAATAGAAAAATTTATAGGAAGTTTAGTTCCTGTCTAAGCTGAAAATCAAGTATTTCGCCTTCGCCTATCATATGGGATCGTCTCATTTCTATAGGAAGCTCAGTTATCTGTTGAGTCTGCAATTAAGTCTTTCCAATAGTTTTTAAAGTAATCTTGTTCTTCATGTATTTTATTAATCACAGAGAAAAGAATTCATAATTGTCGAATAATGTTTTTTTTATTTCTATCTTTTTAACCAATATTTCCATATGATTTTGAAAACAACTCTTAGAAGTCATTATCATTGCTTAGGAGATTGTGCGTTACGATATTCTGCAATAATAAGACTTACATTGAACTCGAAAGATTTATTATGTTTACTAAACAAATTAAACATCAATATTAATCGTATTTTATGAAGAGATTACAATCTGAAAAAAAAAGTTATGTGAAATAAAAACGCTTTTAAATTTAATTTCAAGAATTATGTTTGATTGAAAATTTTGTTAATTGTTCTGTATGAGTGAAAACAAAATGATAGACAAATTTAATCATTAAATTTCTTTACCAAATCTGTTATTCAATTCTCTACAATACAATTAAAATAATAATAATATATATAAAATATTTTATAATAATAAAATTTTGTTGTCTTAAAAAAGACAACTAAAATATAACCTATTATAAAATAATTCAAAATAAATACATACACCAAAAACATTTACTAACAAAATTCTGTATTATTATAAATTACATCGTTTATCAAATATACATTGATAAATAATTTTCTTTTATACACAAATAAACATATACAAAAAAAACAAAAGTTATATCATTGTCTATACCTCTACATTTCTTTCTATTGTTAATGTATAAGCTAAAAGAGCATAAAGACCAACAATAAAATATGCACCTCCTGGTAATGTATATGCCAAAGCTAAACGTTTAGTTTTCACTGCAATTAAACCCATCAATGGAGTAAATATAGCTCCACCAATAATTGCCATAACAAGAAGAGAACTGCCTAATTTTTCTGTTTGTCCACTCATACCTTTAATACCTAAAGCAAATATTGTTGGAAACATAAGTGACATAAAGAAAGATGTAATAAAAAGTGTGACAAGTCCAATTATATTTGGTAAAAGAACAGTAATAACAATAAGTATAACATTAATAAAAGCAAATGTAGCTAAAAGAATTGATGGTGAAAGTCCACAATGCATAAGTAAAGCAGCTATAAAACGACCAAGTGCAAACATAATTAATGTACCAGTTAATAAATAACCACTAGTTTTTTCTCCAACTTGAACATAATCTTGAGCATATTGTATAAAATATGACCAAGTACCAACTTGTGCACCAACATAAGCAAATTGTGCAATAATAGAAAAAAAAAATAATGTTCGACAAAGAGTATTAACTTCATTAGATTGTTGATTATCTTGATTTTTTCTTTTTGTTTTATTAACTGGAAATGGTACAATAGCAATAAGTAAAGCAAATAAATATGTAACACCACCAATTACAGCATATGGTCGAACAACACGTAATCTTTCAGTTTTTAAATAATCGTCATATGTTTTATTAAAACGCATTTGTTCAATTTGTTTTTCATTTAATTCAACACCAGAAAATATAAATAATGTTCCAATAAGTACACCTGTTATAGCACCTAATGGATTAAATGCTTGTGCTATATTAAGACGTTTTTCTGATGATTGTGTAGGTCCAGCTGCATTAGCTATAAATGGATTAGCTGCTGTTTCAAGAAAAGCTAAACCAGTTGCAATAATAAATAAAGACATTAGAAATGGTTCATATTTTCCTATATATGCTGCTGGCCAGAAAAGAAATGAACCAGTACCAAAAAGAATTAAACCAAGAATAATACCAATTTTATAACTCCAACGACGAAGAACATAAGCTGCAGGTAAAGCCCATATAAAATAACCCATATAAAAAGCTGATTGAACAAGACCAGCTTCAAAACTAGATAGAACAAATGCTTTTGAAAATTGTCGAATAAGTACACCATTTAATTGATTTGGTACACCCCAAAGAAAAAAGAGACATGTAACAAGAATAGTTGATAAAAATCGAAATTTATTTTTTGATTTTGATTGTACTTCATTATTTATATGTTTATTTTCATTTAGCATAGGGTCATCTTCATTTTTTTCTATAATATTCATTGTTGTTGAATGTTGATCAACTATTGGAAGATTTTCATCAACAATTTGATCATTATTAAGAATAATTTTAGTAAGACTTGGATGTGATTCATTAAGAATTTTTCTAAATTCAATTGCAATTTGTTCACTAATATGATTATGACTTATATCAATTGAAATTAATGTATAATTTGTTCGAAGTTCATCAGCTATAAGTGCTGCTCCATCTGATGAAATACCATTATTCGTTAGTGATAAATATTTAATAGTATTATTATGTTTTATAAGACTAGCAATTGTTGAAGCATCAATATTATCTAAATTAGTCAATGTTAAACGTTGTATACTTTTATTTTTTTGTAATCCTTCATTAAGAATATGATCAAATGAATGAACATGTAAACGTACTGAATCAAAAGTTAATTCAATTAAATAAACTTGTTCACATAAATATTTTGCTAAAATTTGAGCATCACTTTCATATAATTGAAGATCAATTAATGATAAACGACGTACACGAGTATCAGTAAATATTGAAGTCCATAATGATGGAATTATTTTTAATCTACCATTTGCACTTAATATAACATGAATATCTTCATTCGTATTTGATGAAAGTAATACAATAGATGATGATGAAAAATTCACATCGGATATTCGTATTTCACGCATGTTTTTCCTCTAAAATATGAAGAAATAAATACACTATTATATTGCCTCTTTATTCGACTGTTTCTTTTTTTTGTTTTTACTTTCTTCATGAGTCGACAATAACCTTGGAGGAACGAAAGCATGTGTGTTTGCCATATACAAAGCATAGAAGAGAAAAAATTCATTTGAAAAGGATGGAAAGAAAAAAAAAAAAAACAAGAACATTAATTCTTTTTATAAATGAAGAAAATAAACATATTCATGTAACTATTTTATATAGGAAAGAAATATAAATTAAATCTTCTGACACTTGTATGAAAATGTATCCCCATAAATAAATTCTGTATGTGATTAAATGTTACTAATGCAATATCACATTAATTAATCATTTCTATTAAATTCTTTTTTCATGTATAAAATTTTTTTTTTCATTAAAACATCATTCTTTTTTTTTGTTTGTAGGCGAAGTTTTTTCTTTTCTCAATACCAGATATGAAAGCTATTTTTGTAGTTTTTTTTTCTTGAAGAGGAATACATTTAATATAAGAAAAACTAATGATACTTATTACTTTTAATAATTTTAAATTACATATAATCTAGAAAAAAAAATGGTTTCCTGTATGACATTATATAAATTATGAATATCAAAATCTCAAGAATTTTAATACTTATTGTATCAAACTCAAATTTTGGCTTTTTGTTTGAGTTTGGATTCGAGTATTTCTGAATATTGTTGACTTTACTTAGGATGCCTGCAGACCTATTATAGACAAGTTTATAATCTTTTCTTTTGACTTACTTCTCCTTCCTTTTAATACTAAACTGAAAAATGATTGCATTGAAGACTGAACTCGAACGTTTGGATTTGATACTTGATTAATCTCAATAACGTTCTTTTTGAGTTAATTAATTATGTGGAATACATAATATTGTTGTAAAAAACAAAAGTTTGATACTTGAAAGTATAGATGAAAGTACTCGGGTTGTAATCTTGATCTATCGTTTCGAATTCTATCAATATGATAAGAACGAAAAGGTTTATAACTTTTATCGGCAACATTTGATTGATAGATGGTATGGACTCTAACATTATTCATTCTTCTGTGTTAAACAAGTGAAATGTATGAATCATCATTTGAGGGATTTAAATATCTACAAATTTTCTTGACATCTAAAATGGATTATGCATAATGCATAAAAATGACAACGGATTATAACATGAGAATTTTTTGAACGTATTTCTATCATAATGGATGATCAAAAAAATTTAAAACAAGATGTTTGTTGTTCACTTTTGACTTTTAGATAAATTCATGAGACAGAAGATAATGAATTCTACTGGAAGGATTTGAACTCTTTAATAGGCTAATTGTATAAAGTGTAGAATATCTTTTATCGTGAAATTATGTTCTAAAAACATGAACGCAGTGTAAAAAAATGATACACTAGAATAGTTTTTATCGATTATTCTGGCACTTTTAGCTGTTTAAAGGAAGGTTATAGAAAATGCGACAAACGCTCATATTGTTCTCTTTAAAATAGCATTCTTAAAAAAAAATAGCTTTTGAAACCTGAAAACTACATTCTTCGGATTTTTAGAAATCTTGCCATCATAGTTTATCTAGTACAGAAGATGCATCAGATAGAAAATTTCATTGATTATTAAAATCATTATCTGTATTTGAACAACGTACTTAATATCATAGAAAAATAAGTTGTTTATAAAATTTTTTCTCGTCACTTTATATATGTGAAGTACATATTATCTCATATTCAATAGAAAACTTTCTTTGTTAATAGATTTGATTAAAAATATTTTGATTTTATTTTGTTCTCATCTTCATATTGAGATTAACTAGAAGTATTTGCACTGCCTTGTCTTCGTCACATCTTTCTTTTTCTTGATCATATATATATATATTGAGTTGAAGATAAATATTACTAAGAATATTCTTCAAATAAAATGTTAAACGAAAATAGAACAGACCTTTTTTGCTCTATGTCTAATCTTACTATTGTGTTTTTTTATATTATTACCTATACATATCTTCTTCCTTTGTTATTCTTATAAAAAGAAAAACAAGATTAGACATGAGGCCCTTCACATCATACTTGTTATTGATTTTATATTGTTTCGAAACTTTTATACAGGTATATGGATGGGGTCCTGTTGGTCATAACATTATCGTACGTCTTGCTCAAAGTCAACTAATTGATTCAACATCAGAATGGATTCGATCACTTACATCTTGGAATTTCAATGGAAATTTAAGTGCAATAGCATCATGGGCTGATGATATACTTTATCCAGATACAAATCCTACTGATTATCGTAATTGGCAATGGTCTCGAGAATTACATTATGTAATTATACCCGATTGGAGTTGTGAATATAAAGCAGAAAGAGATTGTATTGATGATAGATGTATAGTTGGTGCAATAAAAAATTATACAAAACGTTTAGAAACTGAACTTGATAATATACAACAAAAAGAAGCATTCTATTTTCTTATTCATTTTATGGGTGATATTCATCAACCGCTACATGCAGGTTTTCGAAGTGATCGTGGAGGAAATAGTATTCTAGGTTGAGTGTATAAATTTAATATTTGAAAGAAAAAAATTCATTCTATTTAGGTTATTTTATGAATGAAACATCTCAAACAAATCTTCATACTTTATGGGATAGTGGTTTAATAATGATGCGTCTTCAACGAGATTTTCAACAGAATATTTCTCATTATTATGATCATATTTATCAATTAATGCTGAATCAATCATCATTGAATGATGATGACAATAATATTGAACAATGGATAAAACAAAATATAAACTTACTGTGTACACAACTTTATTTCGATGAACATAATGCAACTATGAATTCATCAGTTAATTTTAATCTAGGAGAAATTTATTATCAAAAAAATATACCAATTATGGAACAAAATCTTGCTCATGGAGGTCGACGACTTGCTGCACTTCTTAATCGATTAGCAAAAAATCGTTCACAAAAACCATCGAATAATAAAGAAAAATTTTATCCTAGTACAATGGCTCTTATTATTGTACTATGTGTCGAACGTGTATTAGCTATTGCTAAGAGTATTATCATATAAATTCGATACAAGCATAAATCATTTGCAGGATCTTTTCATCATATATTTTTTGTCTGAGAAATAAAATTTTATTTATAATTTACTAAGATTAAATTAATATTTTATAAATAGTAAGTCTCTGTTGAAAATAATGTTTATGATTATTCGAATAACGAAAAGTTGTTTCGTATCTGATCACATTATTCGAGTGTTAATCCTTAAAAACCAAATGATATTTTCAAGGGATATTGTAGTACTTGTTATTGTATGTGTAAGAATACTCCTTCTGCTTTTTCAGACATGAAAATGAAAACCTTTTGAGTTTTCTGTCTTTTTTTAAACGACCTATTGGCTTACAGCTTCTTTAAATTATTATTTGCGTTAAATATTCATAGACTTTCTTTTTTCCAGCTTTTGAGTCCAGGAAATTTAGGCATATTTAGAATCATTTATTACTATAAATATCGACAGACTGTTGACACCCACACCCTCTTGATCTAAACTATATGTATTATTAACGAAGCTTCAATGTATGGACTCTAGGAGTAAGAGCGCTGAAAATGTGTTGTAATGAAAGAGAAGAAAACAAAATTTATCTAATAAAGCGAATCATTGCCAATTCAGCTGCAATACAGTACCCTATTAAGATCTCATTCTACCTGCATATGAGCCGACAAACGACTAATTTTTCTAGACTCAATCTAGTCAATGTATTAAGTTTGAGATACCTTGATTTCAATATGCTACAAGAGTGTTTGGGTACGAAATGTTTTCAAATATTCAATCTACTAACTTGATAGGATATCCAAAAAGGCACCTTACTGACAGTTGACTCGGTACACGAGTATCTGAAACCAGGAACACTTAAAAAACTGAGTTTCAAAGTTCAAGTTGAAATTTTACCTTATTATAAAAATTCTATCCGTAGATCTAGCGGCGTAACCAAAGGAGAGGCAAATGAACAATTGTTTATCTAAATTTTATTTTCTAGAATTGTTTATTTAATTTTGAATTAGATGGTAACTGTATTTCTTTTTCTTCCGTCTGAATCACACATGCGCTCTTTGCTCTTGTTCTTTCTGTGGAAAATTAAGAAAAGAAACGAATCACTGCTTGTATTTTAACTGTAAGTTTGCGTGAACGTGAGCTCGGTTTTATTGGGAGAACACAGAGTAAGAGAACACTTTACGAACATTTGTATGTGTAAATACACACAGATTGACGTAAACAAGAGAAAAGAAAAATCCAATGACGTATATGTGAAAACATAAAGGAAAAACAGACTAAAACACACCTGACTCAGGCTTAAAATCTAAGTTTGATGGATATTTGATTAAGAGAATCTCATTTCATTTTTTTTTTGTCTTTTTTTTTACGTTATCAGTACTTTGTTGGACCAAAAACGTTTTAACCTATCAATAAAAACCTTGCTCATTGATTTAAAAATCCTAGTTATGCTGCTGCTTAGATCTGCCTATGATAAAAACATGTTTTTCAAGCCAATCATATAAAAATGATTAATTCTGATATGCTTCTTTTAGATTAGGTACAATCGAAAAAATCTGAAACTTTCACAATATGCTATTAGTTCGAACTCTTCTCAAACTATTCATACTACCATTAAAACCTACATGATGTACATAGTCCCCACTCAAATTGTAATATAACACTTAGAACTATTTTTTGGTCAATACGTTCACTAGGACACTAAATATTGGTCATTTTCCTAAATTCAGTTTGAAATGAAAAACATAATAGATTTTCTATAGTGAATCCGTGGATAGTCTATTGCAATATGTCATTTGATAGATAAAACACAAGTCATTTTATTAAGTACTCTCTTAGATAAATTACAAAGTTGTATTTTTTATTTTATTTTATTTGATTACAAAAATCTTTTATTATTGTTGTTGTGTTACTTCTTAAAATCTGTAATTGATATAATCCATCATCGCTTCGGCATCTGCTTGTTTTTTTTCTTTTAGTTTATTTCGTACATTAATAACAATAAATACAAGAATACCGATAAATAGAAGTATATTGATATATGTAAGAATAATCATAGCTAAAGCACCACGCATAACTGTTGGTTGACAATAATTTGATACTGATTTACTGATAAAGTGAACACCTTTTGAATAAGCTCCATAAACTCGAATTTGCATGAGAATAAAAAAAATAAATGTAATTGCACCAAAAGTAAAACTAACAAGACCTTAATCAAATTCAAAAAATTCATATTTATTCTATTGATTAAAACAAAAAAAAAGACATACCAACAAGAATTTTAGGCGTTTTCCCAGATACATCACTTTGTTGTTTATTTATAGAAGAAATCATTTTTAAAAAACCATAAGCTGTACCCAAGAAAAAAAGTGCAAATATACCGCCAATAGCCATAAGTAATGGTAAATCAGGTGCTGCTTCACATTGTGTATTAGGATCTTCTCCATGTGTAACAATATATTTAAATCCAATAGAAAGTTGAATGATAGGAATAATAAAAGTTATTATAACACATACAGCTAACAACAGATACACAATTATTTTGTCCATCTTTATTTTTGTAACGCTTGACTTCACGTATAACTTTCATATGACAAGAGAAAAAGAAAAAAAGAAATGGATGAAATCAAACACGAGACGAAGGAATATATGTAGTAAAAGCAAGCGTATAATGACAAAAGCAATTCGTGTCTGTAAGACACATACATGGTTGATGAGAAATGAAAATTAATGAACATAAATGAGAAGGTGACAATGAAAAAATTTTATTTCTATCATATTTATCACGTTTTTGTTCAGATCGTTTTTGTCGACGTTTTATTGATAATGATGGTAAAGTTAATGAAGCACATGCATAACCAGAAAAAAGTCGAGCATGTGCTTGTCGTAATATATTAAATGTATGACGCATATGTGATGATTCAAGTAGCATTAATAAATTTTCATATTCAGTTTGATCAACAAGTTCACTTTTCATTTGTTGTTCTTCAATAAAATATTTTTCATGATTATTTTTATTATTAATGAATTTAATTATATCATTAAATGAATATAATGATTGCATAGAATAATCATGAAATGCAAGTTGTCCATTAATATCAAGTTGAGCTGAAAGTGATGGATAATGTTGAAGAATCGTTGAAACAAAATTTAATCGTTCATCTTCATTATTCCAATCTTTATTAACAATTAATACAGAATGATTTTGTCCTTCAACTTCACCACCACCAATACCTATACCATCTTGACAAAATGCTTTACCAAAAAGTGCACTAATTATACGTGCTTGATGTTCATCACCATTAATCTTTTAAATACAAGAAAAACAAATAATTATCAATGAAATATCTGTATAATTAAAATATAAAGTATAATCAAGTTATTTTCGTAACATCTGATTCATTATTATATATTACCAATATTAACTATTGTACAGTCGTCGCAAAAGTTCACAAGAACTAATCAGAACTTGATCGACCTTCGCATGAAAGAGCTAGAAGATCGACATAGTTTTTTTGTGTCAGACGAGAATATCTATATATTAAACAGTTATAGTTTGCCTGATTTATTAAATATTGTATAAATAATTTCTACATAAGAGTTGATTGGAAATCTTCATAAAGTGATCAATATCTCCAGGTAATTTTAACAACTTGCCTTGAATGTTTTTGGATGAGTGATATGCTCTAATCAGTGTTTTTCTTAAAAATTTCACAATAGCAGTTATTAATGGAGAAAAAATTCATGCTGAGACTATCCTAGTTTATAGTTAATAAGAAATTGGAGGTAGTGGAAAACCAGAAAGGTAATTAGTGTTTTCAACATAAATTCTTTGCATAAAGACCGATCGATCTCGGATGGCTGCTTACAATCAAAGTACCAGGCAAAATGAGTGAAATTTATGTCCTTTGTACTCAATAGAAAAACTTTTTGCAACTACTGTATGTCACAACAAATGTGGAAAGAGGAAAAGAAGATCGCAGATATTTTAAAGTTTCTCATTATAGTTTTAAATATGCAATCGAAACTATATTTCAGGATGTTCCAAAAATTCGACCGACAAAAAAAACGATGAATAACTCATCAGCAATGCATATAATTAAATTTTTTTTCAATTTGATTACATATTCACAAAAAGCGTTTAGATCACATGTCTATATCTGCAGAAGTCAGAATTGAAATAGTTTTCTTGATGACTAACTGTGAATCAGCTATCATTGTAACACGAATATTAAAGCAGAAAAAGTCAATGAAGTTAAGGATGCTTGTAAACATGAATCAGGTTCAAGTATTTGGTCTATTACAGCAGCTTGTTCATTAGCATAAATAATAATATACCGGATTATAATGTAAAATATCTTCTTAATACCATACAAGGTACAATTCATTCAATAGTTTCACGAAGAGTAACATAGAAACTATTTTAATTCTGACTTCGTTAAGGGTAGACATTTAATCCGAAATCTAAAGAATACAAGTTTAATGAATACGTTATCGAACTATTCAAGAAATACTTAAACCTCTTGAATAGCTAAGGAGCTACTCACGTTTTATTTTCGTTCGGACTTTTCGAACATCTTGCATATCTATAGTTAAATATTTATTTTTCATTTCGAATAATATCATGTATGTTTATCAAACAAATCAAATATAATCCTCGAAGTACTTTGTTTTTATTTTTTGTTAAATCACTCGGATTTGTTCTATTGTTGTTGACTAATTTTGATTGTCTGAGTTTTTTTTAGTATTCTTTCAGGAAAAATGACGAAAATAAAACAATACGAAATTATTCATCAAAACTAAAAACAACTCCGAACGATTTTGAAAAAGTCAAGAATCGCCGCGATATGTCCTAGTAGTCGAGATAAATTTTGAAAGGATGGAAAGAGTAAGTGAAAATTCCCCTATGTTTCCATACAGGCCTAATCAGTTAACGTTAGAGATCATTGAGTACAAATCTTCGTCTAACAGTTAAAAACAGCAGGTATTACACTCCTTGTCCATAGTTCATTAATCCAATGCTTGAAATATGTTTAGTATTTTTAAGTTTATCTAGCTACAAAATAGGGCGTTAAGACCTTATTGTATGAATAATGAATGAGTACGATAAGGTTCTTTGTGAGTTAAATCAATGATTAGAATAATAATAATAATTGTCAATTTAGAAAAATCAATGTTCGGAATGCAAAAATAAATTAAATACATTGTTTTATTGAACGATTGATTATCCTTGAGAAGGAAATATTGTCTGCTAGAGACTTTTTAATTAATGTATTTTGTATTAATAAAATCAAGTTAACCATGACATTTGAACTCCACACTTTATCCCGAAAAGAAACTGCACCAATCAGATTTTTTCAAATTATTATTTTAAAATTTTTATGTTACGTCACTGTTGAAAAATATAATTTATTATATAGAATAAACTTTGACTCACTTCAATAAACATATTTGGTTCTAGACCCCATTGAGCTGTTTGTGAAAATCCAGATCGAAGAACAATTTTATGCTGTGGAACTAATTTTGACAATACTTTTATTTGTTCTTTTCGATCTTTTTCTTCATTTCGATCAATTAATGTATTGACAAGTAAATCATGTAAATAGCGACATTGTTCAAATCGTCGTTGTCCTACTTGATTACCAGGTACAGAAGCAATTTGTATAAGAAAAGTAGATTTTGACGTCATCAATAAATTAAACCATCTGACAAATAAATATATTTCAAATGCTTTTATACAACAAAAGTATCACGCTTCCACAGTATGATCGAATATATTTTCTTTTTCTTTTCTTTCGTAACGCACCATATGGATGAAATAAAATCATCGATAAGAGTATTTTATTTGTTGTTGACAATGCTTCATATTAATGATAAGATGACGTGATAAGAAAGCTTTGTACAATTGCGCATTTATTATAAACACCCCTGCAAAAAAAAAAAGAAAATTCATAATGACCTAATTGATAAACTGACATAAGTAGAGTAGATATGAAAATAACGCTGATCAACAATAGCAAGAAGTGTACAAATGGAAATCGATGAAGTCAGAATACAAAATAAAAGAAGAGCTATTCCAATAGTCAATGAGAGATGAAAACACATCATATTCTTATATCCATACATAGATGGAACCAAATAAAGTAACAATTCCTGATAAAAATATTTCACGTATATTGAGCAATTAAATTGTAAATGAACGAAATGTTGCTAAACAATGAATAAAAAGTCCTGTTGCTTAATTAGTAGCATTATCATCAACATCAACCAGTGTTGTTAAATATATTGTAATTAATATATGTTATAAAATAAGTTCACAAAAGCATTATAATATAAAATAGTGAATTAGATTAATGAATTAATAAGAATAATATAGAATGTACTCAAGATATAATCATATTCTCTTTGTTCTTTTTCTTGATTCATCTATGTATGTTATTGAAATAATGACTAACATGAAAAGCAAATGTGGTTAATTTATCGGGTGTCAATAACAATAACTATTTATTAAATGTCTCGACTATATTTAATGAACGATGATATTAATTTATATTGAAAATTGAACTAATATCACTGTCATGCAAAGAGTTCAGTGAAATCTCAAAAACAACAACAAACACGATAAAACAAAAATATATAAACAACATGATAAATCTTGAACAGTAATGGTTTTACTATGACTTGACATAGAGAGCAAAAAAAAACAACAATGAAACACATGTCAATAGATAATATTGTTAGTGATAATCGTCCTCATTATTTTGGTTTCTCTTTCTTTGAACTATTGTCTTATTGAAGGATATTATATATTAATAGGAAAACAAAGTCAAAAAAGCCTTAAAGAAATTTTTTTTCTGATATCAGAAATTTCATCTCGCAAAGAAAAAAAATCGAACGAGTGTGACAAAAAAAAGGGACAGGTGTTATTTTCTATGTTTATTTAGTGTTATATGAGCTATAACGATCCGAACAATCAACAATTTCGCACGCGCGTACACGACCATAGTTGACATAAGTAACGCATAGAATAATATGACCGGAAGCGCAAACATAACGTTTGTCGTTGTTACTACTTATTGTCGGAAAACATTCAAAAAAAGGAGACGACAATTGAACGTGTCAATACGTTTCCTTGTTGATCATTTATACGTGCAACATACTTGAATAAGTGAGCAATCAATAATGAGGAAAATAGCTATGGACCATATTACGATCTATATCGACGATAATAATGACAACGAACAGGTACAGATAAAATCACATTTCAGATTGATTGATTGATATATATTTACCGCAGGGAAATTTAGCAGCATTAAGAGAAAAAAAAAAGCAGAAAAACACTTTTTACCACATTGATAAGTCACATTTCGATGAGAGATAGAAAATGAATTATGCAGCTCGTGGTAACTACTCCAACTATAGTACAGCAATTATAACATCTGTGAGATTTCCATCAAGTATAATGTCTAAGCATTATATGAAACACTTTTTTTTTTTTATATTTAGCTTAAACCTAGTTCGACCGAAATATCTCATTTACCAGCTTTACCATCTCGATCGAGACTTGCACCATTAGTTTCATTTGATGAACATGGCGATATTCCATATCATGTCCTGGGTCGGTCATCTTCATCTGTTGTTCCTTCTGCTTCTCAGCATAATAGTATTTTTCGTTATTGCTTAAATTGCTGTTCATGGAAACGATTTCGAAAAGATTTTTGTCACATTTTTTCTCAATTTTTATTTTCTCAAGTTGGTCTATCAATTCTTGTTTTTGTTTATGTTGCTCTCGGTGGTCTTATTTTCTATGCAATTGAATCAAAATATGAAATACAAAAGAATGAACAAATAAAACGGGAACATGCACGCGGAATTCGTAATATTCGTCATATAGCTACTGATGAATTTAATTGGATGTTGAACGCATCATTTGAATTACGTTATGCACTTTGGCGCGGAATGATATCGCGTCAAGATGGGTATGATAATATCGGTTGGCGTGTAAATATTAATAGTGAAAGATTTGATAGACTAATTGATGATGAATTGGCACGAATGCAAGCTGAACAAGAAAAATTATCGGATAAACATGATACGCGAACAGATATGTCCTATAATCAAAAATGGACGTTTTCAACAGCTATGCTCTATTCAGCAACCGTGATAACTACAGTCGGATATGGCAATATAGCACCGAAATCAATATTAGGCAAAGTTATGACATGTCTTTATGCTATGTTCGGAATTCCGATTATGATTATGTGTTTAACAAATACGGGTGATCTACTTGCTTTTTTCTTTATTAAATATTACTCTTTGACAATTAATTTCATTCACCGAGTGATCAGACGGTATAGACAACGACGACGACAACGAATAAAATTATCTCTTGAAGTATGTATAATACATCATTATACTAGAATAATGAATTCATTGAATTTAATATTTTCATTTTTAGATAGAAAATGAATCGGTACAGCATGTACCGGTTGCAGCAACACTTGGTGTACTTGCTTTATACATTGTAGCCGGTGCTATTTTATTTTCTCATTGGGAGGGATGGTCCTATGTTGATGGTGCTTATTTTTCATTTATTACATTTACTACTATAGGTCTTGGTGATTTAGTACCTGGTAAAGGAACATTAACAGAAAATAAAAATGGCAAATCAATTTTATGTGCAATGTATCTTCTATTTGGTCTTGTTCTTACTGCTATGTGCTTTAAATTAATGCAAGATGATTTATTTGCTATGAAAGAAAAACTCTTTGCTCGTCTTGGCTTGGAAACACATCATAATATTCATCATCAAGAATCACCTATTCATGAAAATATCCAGGGACATTTCTGATGATTAGTCAAGGTTTTTATACTTGTTATTTTATTTAACTAAAAATAAATAGAGAAAATAGAATGTGTTATTTTTTCATTATTTTCTCACGATCCTACACGTCATTCAACGTCAAAGAATAATACAGACAGAATGTAGGAGAATTAATTGTTTCTCAGTCAACAAACAGTAATCATTCATTGAAAGTTGTCTCATTTTTGAAGTACAATGATATTAGTGATTTGTTTTTTTAATGAAAGACGAATAACTGTTAAAAGTTTTCAATCTTAATGAACTTGTTGCCCACATGAAGTAAAAATATAGGACATGATTCGTATGATTACATTGTGTTGAAAAAGGCATCTATAAACACTCGAATAGAATGCGAATTTTCTTTCAAAAGTTAACAGAGAAAAACTTTGATGAAATTGACATTTATATTGCTAGAAGCTGTTTATATTTCTCTATAAAGATTAGACTGCCCTAAGGAAGTCACTCGATAGTCGATGTGATAACTTATATTTCTTTTGGACTTCAATAGTATTTAGAGTTACCGATTAAGAACTTGACAATAAATTCTATAATAGTCGCAGTTAGCACAAAAAAAAGATATGTATTCCAGTACACAAAGTGCCAAACCTAAATGAATTTTTGTATACGTATACGAACACATGTAACAGAGAGAAAAAAGGAAATAAAAAATGGATTAACTTTTTGTTTCATTATAATATTCAGTATATACCAAGCATCTGATTTGTTAGTTGAAAATAGTCCATTGATTCCTTTATACAATGATGTAGTAGTGGTATAAATTGTTATCTTTCATTTTATTCGTTTGTGTCTGATATTCAGTATAAAGAAATTGGTTGTCTAGACTCAATATTCTATAAGTAGAGATGTAAGCCATTGAGCTGAGTCTCTGTCGTCACCTATCAATGCATCAGCATACACATCTGCTGCAAAATATGAATAAATATTTTCCTTCAAAAGTTTGACTAAGTTGAATGTAACTGAAAATGAAATAATTTCATTACAGATACTTTATCTGAAAAAGAAAAATCTTGTTCACGTTTTAAAGATTTTAAAGAAGGCTACGTCAAACACCTAACGTTACACTTGACTTATGAGCATTTGTACTTTTAATTGTATTGTATTTAGTTTTTATGCAATATAAAAATGACAATGAATTATAATTCTTCCTTCGAAATGTTTTTTTCATGCATTGATATGAACCAACAAATGGACTTCATGGATGACTTAGTAGTTGAAGGATTTATGTGTAAACGTATGTATTATCTTAGAATGCTATAGCTACGAATAGATTTTCGAACGATCTTATTCAGCTATTTATAGTATAGAGAATAAAGAATAGGATACCGAGAAATGAAATTAAATACGAAAAAAAAACACTGATTTAGATATTTAATTCTAAAGACTGATCGTCAAAAGCAGACCGATAAAACATTAATCAAATGAATGCGCTTAATACTATGAAAAAGACACGATTCAATTGATTGATAATGATTAATGCAAATAAATTTCTATGACAAGTCAATAAGAATAGCTATACGGTGAACCGAAACCAAAGCTTACTCTCTTATGCAATGTCATTTCTACACTTATAAGATTTAGTTTTTGAATCAATTTCTTTTGCATTAGAGAGAGAGCTAAAAGAACGCTACTAAATAAAACTGTTTTTTTTTGTCTCAAATACATTCCAACGTAAATAAAAACAAAGAATGGACTCATTCCTGGACGAAATCATATTTATTAGATTTCGATCGTTTCGAAAAAATTCAATAATAAAACAGTATTATAACCTGGAATATTCAGGCTATGCTTCTGCACATCGACACGTAAGGTACATATATAAGCAATTATTGCTAAATTTCAACTATCATTAAGATATTTGTACTATTGCAATATTCCAGGAACATTAATTAGCATAAAAATTGTTTTATTTTCATAGCAACTCTACCAGTAACTCTATGTTTAAGCAAAATTTCAACGCAAAAAATATCTTTTAATGAGAGCTTTTCTTGCTTATCGCTTAGAGTATACCAATCCAGCATAGATTACATATTCGATAAATTTATTGTTTATCTTCAGTTATAATAGGACATTTTCAATATAAAAATATTTCAATCTAATAGATTTCTTCAAGTATACTCTCTTAATATAAAATAAAAGTTCGAAAACCGTACTGTGACTGTGGAAGTATTTGTCAGTTAGCTCTGCTGGTGTACTCAGTTAGGTCATCTGGATTCAGTTACGAAGTCTTATCTGTGCAGAAAACTGACTTAGTTCTTTCCATATGATGACGAAAACACGCTTACATAATAGTCACACAAAAAAAATAGAAAGAGAAACGCATATTTTCAAGCTCCACACTAATAAGAGAAGAAAAATGAAATATAGCGATTCTCTATCGTTACAATTATCTTATTTATTTTCTTATAGGACTATAAATAAGAAGTACTCTGAAATCACTCTATCGAAGATAACACAATATTGTTTTAGTAATGAGATTTTTTCGTAAATCTTGCCATAGGTTTAGATATTTATTTTATTAAATTCGAATCCCATAGCTACATATCATTGAGCATTAATGTATGTGTTGTTTTATGAGTGGTATAATCAAGGACTGACGTCGTACTTCAACTGACAATCTGTTCCTTACTACTCCGAAAAAAGACAAAAAACCTAATAATCGCTATCTTTTACACTATCTACGATGCAGTTCTTAAAAAAATCATAAGGTACTATTAGATTTCTTACGCTTTTTTAATGACCCTTGTATGCTTTGTATTTTTCTTGTTCTTGTGTGAACATGAAATGTCCAATAGTCTAACTCCAAACGGACTGACAGCTACTGCCATCACATATATACATCTGTTCATTCGTTATCTCTTTGGGTATGTTTCGACAGACATACATACAATGCTACATTCATTCATTCATCATTTACATGGAAAAGAAAAACAATAATACAGTATTTTATTAATCTAATTAAAACCACCGAATGTTACTATATCATCTTTGGTTATTAATTCAAAAATCACTTCGTTATGCACGGCGTCGTCGTACATGCTATTGTTGTCCTACAATAATATTTGAATTACTTGCTCCTACAATATGTCTTCTTTTTTTAATTCTTATTCGATGGATGCATGCACCATCTGAAATAAATAATGAAACTTCATTACTTAATCAAACAAAATCTACATCTATTAAATTGACACCACCTTCGATTATTTTACAACGTGAATCTAAATATGTTTGGAATTCTACATTAATGAATGAATGTCCATTACGAGACATAATAATAGAAATAGTTGATGAGAATTTAGCAAAACATCTCAAACGTACCTGTCCAAAGAGTAGTTTTATTTCAACATCAAACTCTGCACAACATAATGGACATTTTTTACTTAATAGAACTTCAATAGGACTTAATATTAATTATCGATGCCAATATGATAATCAAGAAATATGTCAAAATACGGATTTATCTAATGATAAAGAAGATTCAACATTGATTCAACATCCATCGTTATCTATATGTTCAAATAAAAATGCTAATGAAGAAAATAATCTATTACAAGTTTATCTTGCCATTGTATCTCGTATAAATCAACCCATAACAAAACAACAATTATTTATTTATACATGGCCATGTTTATCCTATGCATTTGATCCTTTATTTGAACTAGTACCGCGTTATGTATTAGGTTTTATATTTTTTTTTATTGATGGATGCATTTTATGTGGTTTTAATTTATTATTTCATTCTTTAATTCATGAAAAACATCAAGGAATAATTGAACTTCTTCGTCTTATGTCTATTCGTCCAATATTAAATAGTTTTGCTTGGTTTCTACGAGGTTTTTTTATACAATTAATATCAAATATATTATTAATTTTAATATTAACACGTTCATTTGATGGAGTTATTTATTTACCATATGTATCAATTTGGTTAATTATCCCAACGATTTTCTTTTGGACTATTCAAGTTCTTTCACAAGCTGTACTTATTGCTCATTTTTTTAACAGTAATTTAAAAGCAACAATTTGGTCATGGTTTATTTATATTGTATCATTTTGGTTAGCACTTTCATCATCTATACGATTACCGATATTTTTTCATTTTATTGCTTCAGCTTGGTTACCATTTTATTCAATAAAGCCTGCATTTATTCTTCTCTTTCGAATCAATACTGATTTAGGTCGTAATAATCTTAATAGTGAACTGATATTAATTTGGTTCTATATGTTATTTGGTACTCTTCTGATGTGGCTTTTAGCATATTATCTTGAACAAACTCGACCAGGTAAATATGGTATTCGACGTCGATGGTCATGGCCATTTGATTATTTTCGTAATAATCAAATAAAAAATGCAAAAAAACGTGAAAGTATTGATATGCAAATGGTAGAAACATTACCTGATATAAATACTACAGTACGAGTTAATAATTTAACTAAAACTTATGGTCGATTTAATACTGAAAAACAATTAGCTGTTGATCATGTTTCATTTAAACTAGAAAAATCTACTATTTATGGTCTTATTGGTCATAATGGTGCAGGAAAAACAACAACAATGGAAATGATGTGTGGTTTATTATCATGTGATTGTGGTACAATTGAAATTCATGATAAAGATTTACATGAAAATTTAACTGAACTTCAAAAATATATTGGCTATTGTCCACAACAAGATATGCTTTTTTCACATTTAACTGTAAAAGAACAATTAGAATTTTATGCTCGTGTTCGATCAAAAGAACATAATATTGATTATAGTCAAATTCAAGAATTACTTTCGATGATGGATATGCATACATATAGTAATCGTTTATGTCATCAATTATCGGGTGGTATGAAACGAAAATTATCAATTTTATGTGCATTTGTTGGTCAAGCTAATATTATAATATTAGGTAAGAAAAAAAAATACTTTAATTAGAATGAAGCAAAAAAAAACAATTAGCAAAATTTCTGTGAGATAAAAATACGAAACATGATATAGCTGCTGTTACTAGTCCTTGAAAGATTGCTTGAGTCTATCTATTTTGGGACATACGCCTTCATCATCGTTTTACTTAAGGATTAAAAGAATTTCTTTAGATGAACCATCATCATCACTTGATCCAGTAGCTCGTCGAACATTATGGTCATGGCTTCGAGAACATAAAACTAATCGTACATTATTAATATCATCACATTTATTAGATGAAGTTGAAGAACTTTGTGATTCAATTATTATTCTTGATGCTGGTAAAATTCGTGCACAAGGTACAGTACTTGAATTAAAACAACAATTTGGTCCACCAGGTGATCGACTTCATTTGGATAAAATGCCAACATATATACCAAAAGAATGGATTATTAATGAAAAATCTCATTTTATACAAATTCCCAATAGAAAAAAATTAATTTACATACTTGAAAAATTAGAACAAGATAATATAAGATATTCTTTAGAAAATATTACACTTGATGATATATTTTTAAAATTAACTTCATCAATAGAATGTTCATCGTCAGGTAAAAAAAAAGGCAACATTTTATTTAAATAAACTTTGTCTAGTCAAACTGTTTTTTTTTCATGTACTTAACATAAGCAAACTTCACTAAGACTTTTAGAAAGGTCATTTTAAGCGTCGGAATATATTTTGTACTATTCCTGCATTGTTGTATTTCAAAAATGGGTAAATATCAATATGTGCCCATATCACATGAATTTCTGATTCAAGAATAGAGACCAGCATATGATTGAGACTCAGCAGACTCGTATTAATAAAACAATCAAATTTTTTACTTTTACATAATAACAACAAAAAAAAATATATAAAAACATCCTAGTTTCGAGCTTCAACAAATAAAAATATATTCATATAAAATAAATGGTTATGATTTTTTTTTCATTATGCATATTTAGAAGAAAGTACTATCAAGTCTTCAATAAATACATTATTTAATACACGAACAAATACGCAACGAAGTCAGCTATGGTGTCAACAAATTTTAGCTGTATTAATTAGACGTAGTCAAGTTTTTCTAAGACGAGCTCGTTTATTACCAATTTTAGTACTTCTTTATTTGGTTTATGTTTTTGCACCATTGTATATACCATCATTTGCTCCAATATCTGTATCATCTACGGAACATATTCGTTATATTATTTCATCTCACTCTAATGTAATCGATAAATTATCATTTAAAAATCTTGATACAAAATTTACTCCATCATTATATTCAGTACAAGAATTTCAAGAGTATCTATTAAGTAAGTATAATCAATTGGCGATCATAACTTTTGATATTCAAAAACGATTGTTTTCTATTACATGAATTGATAGTTTTCGTCAATATCTCAATAAATTTTTATGAAACACAATCTACAAAGCATGTTGACTTATAGAGGTAGAAATACGGACATCCTTTTACACACATAACTGGAGATGTGCAAGACTACGGGAAAAAATTTATCTCAACTAGAGCTAATCATCATAGTAAAATATGCTATAGTTTTAAGCGAAAAATCAATCAAAATATAATTCAAGAGAGATAAGACAAAAAGATGCTAGTTGTCAACTAAATAAATTCTAGAAGTTTTTTTTCATAAACGGAATCCAAAAGACTAAAAGCACTGGATGGGAGACTATTAGAAAAGAAGTTACTGGGACCTGAAATAAAAACGATTTAATTTCGCACATCTTTAGACGTGACAGATTTTGTTGATATATGATTAGACATAGTGTGTCAATAACGGCTCGTTATAGTATATAAACTATGTATTGTATGTCTATAGGATTAAGTAAAAGGACAGTGAAGACAACTATCATATCCTATTTCACATATTTTATGTTGCGTTTTCATCATTTTTCGAAATTAATTTCATTTGATTCATAAGTATTTCTTGAGTAACTTACTTCGTGATTAACATATCTGTATACAAATATAAACGATTGAAATTTATTCAATAATTTTTAATAGGAATAAAAACATGGCAATCAGATAATCATCGTCAAAAAATACTAGTTGGTCTTCGCATACCATCGTCTAATCATCTTGAATGTTATGTTCCATCACCAATTCTACAAAATGTTATCACATCATGTCTTCCCATATATACATTATTTCATAATTATACATTTATTCCATTACATTTAATTCATCATCATGCAACAAATCCTTTTAGAGAATTTTCATTATCAAAATCTGATCCATTGTTTTATTGTCATCATACATTACCATTTAGACATCATCTATCAATTATTTCACTTTCAATTATTTTAATTCTTTGTGCTGCTTTAATTATTCAAGATTATAAATCAGATCTTTATTCATATTCACTTATTCATGGTCTTCGTTCATCAATTCATTGGACAATTATATTTCTTAGTGATCTTATTATATGTTTTCTATGGCTTTCGATTCTTATTCTTATTGAGCGTTTTGTTCATTCATCAATATTTAATGGTCGTTTTTTTGCATTGACACCATTATTTTTTATTGTTGATCTTCCATTTATTTATTTAATAGCTAAATTTTTTAATGCACCAATATTAGGTGCTACAATAATTGTATTCATTCTTCAACTTGCTCATGTCTTATATGCCTTTAAAGTAATTGCTGAATTTGTTCGCGGTTATCATACATTTTGGACAATCGTACAAATTTTACAATGGTTACTTGTAATTATTTTTCCAAATGTGAATGTACTTACATTACTAGTAACGATTCTTCGTCCATATTCATGTTCATCTGATTATGCTCAATTAACACCAGACAATATTTTTTCAAATGAACGTTATCCACATAAATTACTTATACATATATTAATATTCATTGGTCAATTTATTCTCTATTTTATTTTATTAATTATTATTGATAAATGGAAAATACCAGTATTATATAAATGTAAAAAAAATGTTATTAATCAATATGAAGAAGATAATGATGTTGCAGAAGAAAGACATCGAATAGAAATACTGAATAATGAAGAAAAACAACGTGAAGCTCTTATTGCTGATAATCTTTCTAAATATTATGGTTATTCATGTTTTCCAGCTGTTAATCGATTAACATTTGCTGTACCTCATCGACAATGTTTTGGTCTTTTAGGATTTAATGGAAGTGGTATGTTTCAAATTGCTGAAAACAAAATAGAAGTTAATTATCTCAATAAATATTTTTCTATCATCAAAAATTAGGACTTAGTACTAAAGAGTGATATTTCATACAGAAAAACACGTTGAATTCATAATGACATATAATGAAGATAATTTATTTTTTAAACAAAGTTTCTTATTGTGTACGAAAAGAGAATATCTTAGGACTTTTTTAAACATAGGCAATACATTATTTGCAGCCAATAATGGTCTCAAATTACCAAACTTAATAAGAGCAGTACAATAGACTGATCTATTAGTCACCTTTTATTACCAGACTGTGAATAATTATGACGCTGTTGGAACTGTCTTATTCATAAAAACATCTGAAAATCATCTGTTATGAGATTACTCACATCGGATAACTAAGTTTTGAATCACTAGAATAGTTTCGAAATAACGAGTTTGGATTGTAAAATGAGTCTGAAAATTTTAGATTCAATAATTTCTAGGTTAAACCTTCCTTCAATGAGAAAAAAGCTCGGAGCAGTTTATTTTTGTATTCCACTTTGTAAATAAAAGAAATGACATACAAAATAGATCTATTCAGATTAAAATATCATATCAACATTGTATTTATCTTAGGTAAAACAACAACATTTCGAATGTTAGTCGGAGAATTATTACCAACGAATGGACATATTTATAAAAATAATAAAGACTCAATTGGTTATTGTCCACAAGATGATATTAGTTTTTCAGGATTAAATGTTCAACAATCTATTGATTATATATGTCGTATTCATGGTCTTAATCCATCATTATTAAATAATTTAATATTATCTCAATTTCAATTAGAAAAATATCGTCATCGTTTAGTATCACATTTAAGTGGTGGAACTCGTCGTCGTCTTCATTTAGCTTTATGTCTTATTGGTTCTCCAACACTTCTTTTACTTGATGAACCAACAGCTAAAATTGATCCATTGTTACGTAGTCATATTCGACTTTTATTACATCATCGTCCAATAGATACATCAATTGTATTTGCTTCACATTCCATGCTTGAATGTGAACAATTATGTGATCGTTTAACAATTCTTGTACATGGTAATGCAGTATGTTTAGGTTCAATTCAACATCTTAAAGATAAATATGGTATTGATTATCGCATAAGATTAACACCACTTCAGTCATCATTTGATATACCATTACTTAAACGTGTTGATAATACTAATGAATATACATATCCAAAAACTAGTTTATCAAATCTTTTCAAAATATTAGAACAGCTAGTTGAACAAAATATTATTGCATCAAACTATACAGTACAATTAACTTCACTAGAACATATATTTCTGGGTTTTCAACATACTCTTGATAGTATTGTTTAGCCATTAGCGTCAAATTTGTGTAGATTTCGTAGCATGTTTATGTAATAAACATGAAATTTATGTAAATGTTTGCTCTTATCGTAAAAATAAATATTTAGTACAATTGTGTCTAATGAATCAAATGTCTTTATACAACTACTCATTTTTCTACGAAATTTTACTTGAAAAGACGTTAATTAAAAAACGAAAATTTCTTCATAATGCAAATCTAATTTAAAAAAAAGGCTTTCTTGTAAATGATCGAAGAATGATGTTTGTCTTGATTTAATTTCACCAAACGCACGTAAACAGCAAGCAAAACCTTACACAAAACAGACAATACACATAATAAAAAATAAAGATTTGTGTTGTCGCATCTTGAAATAATGTTACAGCTTGCATTCTCGCTTATCATAAGCCACCATATACGACGTAAAGATGGTGCAATAAACTTTTAGAAGACACCAACATCAACAATCTTTCTAGTATTTAGTTTCGCATTAAAACATTCCTATCGTAAACACAGGATAATATTTCATCGGTTACTTTTGCATCAGAGATTATTGATTAATATGTTTTGAACAATCGTAAAAACAAAATAACTCTGTCATTATCGCTTCGTAATATTAGTTGAATCTACGTAAGCTACAATCTTACGCCTATCTAATTATACATAAATATAATAACCTATTCAACCTTCAAGAAACTTGATTATATTGTATGATGAAACGGTAAAATTTGCAAACGTTTCAGAACTAGAACGACATTCTTTATGTCACTTTGTCGTACGTAAGCATAAAGGCAAATGTTCGACGGAGACTTATATATAACTTCAGCATTTTTCTGATTTGTTTTTGATTATTCGTAGTCCTAACTAAGAGCCATAAGAAAATATTCTAGGAACAACTGTCTAGGAAACAATAGACGTAGATTTCCGCCTTGGATATTCGATATTAACTATTTTTGGTAGAAAGAGCATAGTTGTTCAGCTGCACGAATTTGTTTCTTTTGAACTATAATTTATGAACTGAGTGTATGAATTGAATCCTGTCGAATTCTAGTAATTCTAATTAGACCTTTACACAATCCTTTTCACTAAAGTTCGGTACTTTGAAATATTCTAAATGTAGTAAAATTCAATCGTCAGATTGTTTGGATCGTGTACGATTCGACAGTTCTTTCGGAAGTGTCTGACGGAATCGGATTATTCGATTCTTCATGATGAGTATATCTCAAACAAAAAAAAGAAAGCAAGAGAACGTATCTTCTATAAGGGTGTCGGTTCGGTGTGTGGATTGATATATTCTCTGACACCCAGGTCACTCCATATCCCACAGTTACACCTATCCACATTCCACCCTGGTTTTTTCCTCAAAAAACAGTGTGAGTGGGTAGAGGCAAAGAAGAAACTTTCATATTCTCATCCCCATCTCTTCGAAGCTTTGTTTGTTGATGAGAAGCAACCGAAGAATGCCGATAGGTGAGTAAAAGAGTGAGTTTGAAATCTATTACAGATAAGACATCATATAAAAATGAACTTTGAGCATTTTTTTATTATGTGAAAAGTTTTTAGAGGTCAATCAACGTATCGATATCTGATGGAAGGATCATAAGTAGGTGGCGCAATACCAATACCAATGCGGTGAACCTTTTGAGTAGGTTCTGGATATGTAGAATCGACGAATGTACATTGAATATTTCGTAGAACAAAAGCTATACATAGTTTGATTGCATTCCTAGCGAAAAATCGTCCGGGACACATACTTTTGCCCACTCCAAAAGGTACGAATCCAGTTAATACTTGCTGATTTACGAATCGATCATATTTATACACGTTAGGTTCTTCGAAAAAGTGTGGATCTCGATGAGCTGCAGCCGGAAATAAGGCAATGGCATCACCTTGCATAACTTCGAATGTTCTTCCATCTTGTAAGACAATCTTCGTTGTGCGACTGCACTTTCTCAGGGTCATCGGAGTGCTCACCATGCGCAGAGTCTCATTGACTGCACTGTCAAGATAAATACATTGATCCAAAGCATCTTTCGATCCCTGTATGTCTAATTCATCGGTGTTAAAACTCAGATTGGTGCAAGATAGTTTAGAGACAATCTCTTCACGAACCGTCTTCAGCGCTATTGGATTTCTCAGAAGATAGTACAAGCACCAGAATATGGCTGGTATAGTGTTACCAAGAGACGCCCATAGAATGGCGGTTTGTGCACCGGCAAAATCACTCTCAGTAAACCATTCAGGATGATTGCAGATGAATGTTGCACGACGCCGAATGAACTCGCTCTCATTCATTGGATGACGATGATAGAGTAGCCACGAGCGATTGAGGCGTTCTCGTGCTTCAAGTTCACGTCGCCAGAGCCATGGATAGATCCATGTAGGAAGAAGAGCAATGAAAAAGTGAATATTAGCATCAAACGTAGTAAAGTCGTCTTCAAGTAATCGCGGCTCGATGTCGCCGAACAATGTACGTGTCGATGCAAAGAAGGTTATTCGATGGCATAAATTTAGTAGACCAATGACATGTTCATCACCTGCTAAACTTACCTTCTCAAGAATAATATGTTCTCGAGTAAACTTAGCAAAGACGGATATCAAAGAGTTCAGGGCCTCACTACTTTGTAAGTATTTGGTGTAATAACGGTGCAATTCAACATCCATATCCGGGTGATCTAAGTAAACAACAGCAGATCTGAGTGTTCAATTCAACGGTCTACCTACTGAAACAATTCAATGAAATGTCGAATGTTCGAGCGGCAAATTCAGCTCCGGGAAAATACAGTGATGAATTACGTGTGATTGCCAGCCAGTCGTTGGGATCGAGCACAAAAGTGATCCGTTGGGAAAATAACTTAATGCTAAAACACGAACCGTATCGTGCTTTGGCATCGAATATGAACTTGGTTCGATCAGCAAGAAAGGCGAATAAGTGACCTACTAGTGGATACTGTCTGCCAACGATAGGAATTGACGTAGGAATGAAAAGTCGACTTTGAACGAAGACTCGCCAAAGAAAACAGAAGATCATGAAAAGGATAGCGACGAAGATTACCATTGCTGGTCAATGTGCATCTAAAAATATTGTTTCTACTCATTAGTTGAAATCAAGCGATTTAACCGCTTGTACAAAAAACAAATTTATTTAAGTTCAAAACTAAAATAGATGAAGTATCGATACTTGAAAATATTTTTATCTGCCAATGCAATTTATTAAAACTATTCTTGAAAATTTAATGCATAATATTTTATACTTGAAGATGATAGGAACAGCTCTCGGAGCGGTGTGCAAATGTACCCAATATATCGATGTACCACTACACTACAAAACATTTTTATAATCCACTCTCCTCGATTGTTTTTGGGGATATAGAGGCAAAGGTGCAAGTGAAGACAAAATTCTCGCCTTCATTGATGCATTCATCATCTCATATGCTTTCACAATAAAGTTAAGTAATAGCTGATGTATCGATGCGCTGCTCATTGTCCAATTCACTGTAAAAAAAAAACATATCAGCGCAGCTTCTAGTGGGGCTGAAATGTGGTACTCACATTCAAACATCTCTTAGAACACAGTACACATCTTTAAAAGATGTAGAAATCTCTTTTGATAACGAGAATAGATCGAAGCGAATGCGTCGCGCTTTATTTGTTCATTTCGAATGAGTGCGAGTGTGGATGTTGGTGCCAATCGGTTTAGGTTGTGAGTCTTACTTTTCGTGGAACCGACACCCACACCCAAACGCCTAAAACTACACACCACGTAAGTGCTTCCGTAGAGAATGTGTGCCTGCGTGGAAATGTTTCTACTCGGAAATACCTCTGCGCGGAAGAGCCTGTGCTAGGAAGTGCTCCTGCTGCTACGCAGTATCCCTGTGCGGAAGTATGTCTACACGGAAGAGTTTGCGCACGGATGTGTCTTGTCATGCAGCAGAAGCTCAAGTGATCAAAGCTACATATCGACTCCATAGATGCCGTCGTAGACAGAAGCATAAATGGTCACTAGTATTATAGTAAAACTAAGACGGCACAGCAAGAAATTCTGGTATTTAATATTGTTCAGGGAAAATGTTCAAGTACCTACGTGAAACGGCAAGAATCATTATTTTCAAATCGTGAATGAGCTCAAATATATGGACATATGTTTCGATGTTGAGCGGTAGCAGAATGAATGCGACCATCGGAGCAAAACGAAAAAAGGTGATGAATAAAAAAAAGCGAACTAACAACTGATATGAGAGGCAGCTACATAGTAACAATAGGAGAAGAGCCTATGTGGTCTTGTGTAGGATCGAAAATGAGCCCACAACTTAGCTATATGAGAGACTGCAGTGACAAGCTTGTTCCGAACAACTGCCATGTTTGGGTTAGTACTGGAGAGGGCTTACATGATTTCTAAAATAGTAACTTTTTCAAAGGACCGAGGAGCCCTCATAGAAAATGGAAATCATCTTGTGTCTGTGATTGAGTTGTAATTAAGAATTGAAGCTCTATCTCACTTATGTTTAGTTTTACTATTTGCATCACCCCACAATCGTCCTTAAACATATACAAGATAGAAAATAATATTTTTTTATGAGGTACTACTGAAATGATTAACAGTTTTAAATATTATCTTTTTTTTACCATTCTAACGCCCGTTAAAAGTAGCGTTTACGTTAAAATTGGCAGGCCATGTAGGGATTACGAATTATAAAATTATGGAATTTTTCTAAGTTCTCACAAAATAGTTTGAACTTCTGTCCGTTGTCTGTAGTAAAAAGAGAATATTGTGAAAACTTTTTATCGCTTATCAAGGTTTGTAAAACTGTTTGTGTTGATTATTTTGGTGAAAGAATTTGGAAATTCTATTGGACATGATCATGCTGAATTTGACATACTCAAAAACTGCTTGACTCTACAGGCGTTTCATGCAGAAAAAATTATTTGAAAAAATCGATTCTACATCAATTATAATTATACACCTTTAATTGATAATGATAAAAAAAGAATAATCAAAATATCAAAATTT